TATTTCGTTTAGATAATATGTAAGAGACTACAACACAGCTTTACATAATTGTGAAGAGAAAGGTTGATACATTTTTAATATATAATATCTAAAAAGTTGGCACAAATACACTTTCAGGCTGCTTTACTCTCAATTGCTGTCAAGGTAAAATGTATGTTATATAATATATATCTTAATAACAGTCCACACGTGTGAAATTCAATCTTAGTATGGATATAACTGTTCCATGATGAACTGGTTTGTTGGAGAAGGTATGTGGATAACGATCAGCACTGTATGAGGTACCACAGGTTATGGCACAATTGCAAACCTACAAAATAAATGTGAAACATCCTAAACTGGCAGCAGGACAATGAGCAATAACAGGGAAAATGTAGCTAACAAGCTCATGATAAGGAACCACAGAGGTTTTGCAGCTTGGAGACTGAGGGAGGACACACAGAACCACTTAGAAGAAAGTTTCTGTTCAAATGGCACAAAAATGCAACATTTTGTCTGACATGCGTGCTCAAAAATGAAAAAAAAAAAAAATCAATAAATAATAAACACGCTGCACCTTGTTGTTCAATGTTGAATGGATTTCAGATGGAGCCAGGAAATCCTGATGAAAAAAACTGAAAAAGATTTTAGGCTGGGATGGAGGTTTGCCTTCCGACATGACAGCAAGCCTAAACATGCAGCCAGATGATGTGGATTTGGTTAAAGCATATTAATACATTAGACTGATCTAGCCAAATTCAAATCTAACTTGCAACAAAAGTAGAATATTTATTAATATTAAAATAAATTCTGCATTAAAATTAATGGTTTCAAGATCAATTTTTGAATCTGGTAAAGATGTACCCCAAAAGGAAGCAAAACTATTGAAAAGCATATTATATTTATCTTTATCCATTATGGTTTGCAGGAAATTGGTCTTGAGTTATAAAAAGAAAAGACAATAGTCATAAAACAGAAACAGTGAATCTAAAATGACTTACATTAGAGATCATAGATGTAGTAGTTTAGATGTATCCTTGGACGCACACTGACTCAAAAAAAAAAATCTGTTTTGATACTTGGGTGATTGTATTTTCTGGTTTCTTTTATGTCCATTTTCTTAATTTGCCTGTTGCTTATGCTGTGGGTGTTTCCATTTTAGCTCATTCTTTTGTCAATACATTGGATTTCTCTGTTTAGCGTTTGTGTGCTTAGTTTTCTCCTTCCCTCAGCTCCCTCTGCCTTCATCAGTCTCAGCTGTTCTAAATCTTCACCTGATTGCTCGCATTTGTCCTCCCATACCTTCTCTATCTTTCTCTCTGTGTATAAGCTCTCCGGTGGCCAGTCCTTAGTCCATTAATCCATTCTTCCATCAATCTTGCTTTTGCTAGTGCTGCATTTCCTGTTCTCCGTGTACCATACCACCTGTAGCTTATTTTCCTGTTTTGTTTTCAATTAACTCTGTTGACTGTAATCTCCACTTACCGTAGGTAATTTTGCATCACTGTCAAGCATATCTTCACCTTTAAAAGCACACACAAAAACTGCAGGCATAGCTGTTGGGTGATTAGGTTACTTTAATACAAAAAGGAAATAAGTTTCATGTGAAGAAATGTGACCATAATTCGGCCACCATCATGTTTTAATATCAGCAAGATGTTTTTTAAGTTCATATCTCAAACTTATCCTTTGCAAATGTCTTAACATAAATGTGAATGTTTTATCATAGTATATTCTTTAGCAGCATTTTAATGGGAGATTCTGGAAAAGCAAACACAACTTAAAAAAAAATGTGACACCTGGCCTTTATTTAAAAGTGAGCTAAAAGGAAGGTTGGGACATGTAGCAAAGGTCAACAGTTCGGGACTCAAACCAGGAACGGCTGCATCCAGGCCAAAGATCTCTGTAAATTGGTCATGTGAGATACCAGCTTCTTTGAAAAAGATTGAACAACACAGCTTGATCTAGAAATATGGAAATACAACTGATTGTTTTTATACATAGAAATGAACCAGAACTTGTTGAAAAGTCCTGCAAATTCTTCTGTGTTGCTGTGAGCAGTTTTTCTGACCGGTTTCTGTTTTGCCTTTTCATCAGTTCTTTAGAGCCATCTGGATGATGCCATGTCACTTTTAGCTAATATTTTCTTAAATGACTGATAACCATTTTCAGTGTGCAATTATGTATATATAATTCTGTGGATTTTATGTAAATGTTATATTTCTTACAAATGTGATAATTCAACCTCATGTACCCTCTTTGCGAATTGTGGCTTTCAGGTGTCAAGTAATGAAGTATTCCTTACTGTCATATTTTGAATGTGTGACTCTGAATAGGCGCAAAAACTGAGACAGTTGGTATGAGAAAAACTTTATTGAAAAAATGAAAATGAACAAGATTGGATTTCAGCTGATTGGGGGTCTGGTGAGCTCTGCTGGGAAAGATAGGGAGGATGTTGAAAAAACTGAGCTTTGGGATTTGTGAGAATATGGTTTGGATGGTGAACTCACTGAGGTGGCAGCTTGGGCTTGGTCTTGGGGAAGAAGTGTTGTTCACTGGTACGGGTTGTTGGTGCAGATCCATATTCTCTCTCTGTGTTGGTTTGTTGGAGGGTGGACAGGCAGGCGAGCGCAGACAGGAGGGCTGACAGATGGATCCGGGGTTCTTCTCCGCTATGAGAACTTTCCAGGCGTCTCTCAGATTCTGATCCCAGGCGTGGGTTTCCAGGTCTTTAACTAGATGGCTTTCTGGAAGGAAATCACCAGGACGAGGTTAGGATAAGGTCTCACAGAAAATAGGGTTTTCAAGGAATAGGTCTGTACCATGCTGAAGCATAAACAAACTGACACCCTCCTCCTGGTTTCAGCTCCTTATGAAAGCTGGTAATTAGTTCTGATGGAACGCACCTGCCCATCCAGCCTTGCAGAGGAGAGAGAGAAAGAAAACACAGACCTGCACCTAGACCACAGAGTATGACACATTTTTAAAACAAACGTCACTCGTTACTCTTGGCTTCGGTTTAATGTTTATAAATATTTATTTCACATCATGTGCGCCATCCAATGCAGATTATTGGTGCCATCCACATCTAGTGAAAACTAGTTTAATTGATGAGTCATATAATGCAAACACTCATTGGTTAGCTAAAGGAAATCATCAGAAGCAAGCAGGTGTTCTTCAAACTGCAAACATGAATTGTCTATGCCATGCTACAATGTTGGATTCAGAAAAAGATGCTGAAATGTCTGAAAGGTCGGACACAGGAGAGAGCGTATCATGAGATGGAGACGGAGACCAATAAGACCTCCCTCATCCTTGGCCCTATCTCAAAGAATTTTTGAAATAGTCGTAAAATTGAGCTTCCAACTCATATAGTGGCATCTGGCTGTTTTTTTAAAGGTTACTTTATACTTTTATACTTTAAGTAGTTTTTGGAGCACATGCTTTTTCACTTTTACATGAGTAAAGAGGACAAGTTGATATTTCAACTTTTACCAGAGTGTTTTTAAACTGCAGTATCTATACTTCAACTTAAGTAACAAATGTGTGTTCTTTTGACACCACTGGTGGCTTTAGATAAAGAATCGAAATTCTTATGGGGAATAGTCTACATGGAAAACTGAACTTTGAATATAAATATTGTACGTATGAATTTAACCAGAACAAAAGCTTAAAGTGCACCAACAAAGCCTTAGACACACAGATTCATGCAACTTCTTTTATTTTCAACATTGTCTTTATTAAGATACGAGGTCATAATAATGCTGAAAACATGTTCAAAGGATTAATCCCAGATAAAACTCTTAGAAACTCATCTAAAGTTAGACTTAAGATTAAAAATATCCTCTTATCTCAGTCCCCTTTCATCATGGTCTTATTTATTTTTGTGTATATTGTATTTTTTATTAGACCAGCGGCACAGCGGGCCAGTCTTGCCATCCAAGATCTCAATCTCAAACCTGCCACTGCAATTTATATCAAATCATTCTCTTTTTTGTTATCTTCCGCGTATATAAACAACGTGGTTTCAGACGCTAAGACGCCGGATCATCTCTATGGTAACAGTCCTCAATTAGCGGTGATTGGCCAACCCGTGGGAATGTGTCTATTCCCTGAGCTCTGTGATTGGTCGGTGGGCGGTCTGAGCAGCCTGACAGTCTGCAGCGTTCCGGGTTATTGTCAGTCTCGGCGGCTCGGCAGAAGGGCAGGACCGCGTCCCCGGAGCTGCCTCCAGCAGCTAGCTCTTTATTCAGTCGGAGCACTTTCTGCATTTGGTTAAAACACCAAAGAAAGGCTGAATATATATATATTTTTCTCACTGAGGTTTTCTCCAGGATCGCATTTGGAAACCTGCGTCTGAATCCGGAGGAAAAGCATCTGAGAGAGAAGGCAGCCGACCCCCTCGGAGAAAGTGACGGACGGAGCAGAGCCTGGTCGCAGGGATTTTCTCATCAGTTAGGATATTTCAGGCTGCTGATTTGGCCCTGCCTGGATTGCTTTCAGGGTATATCGACACAAAAAAGCCCAAATAATATCCCTAAACATTTACGTTTGTACTTTACATAAAATTGCTCTTACGAAGGAGACGGACCCATGCGTAAAAGCGTTGGATTTCTAGGATTCTGCACGAAAGAGTCCAGTTTTTTTTATTTTTTATTTCATCCTCTGGAAGTATACCTATAATCAAAGCCCAGAAAAGATCTAACGGTTCCCCTCACCTTTCTTTCAAAGGCTAATAGCTGAAAACGAGAAGCGCTTCTTGGTGCGCAATCCTCCCGTTGAGACTCCACCGACCTGCGCTCTGAGCGTCCACTGAGCAGATAAATAGAGGCGAATCTTATTAACTTTGCGTGCTCAAGGAGAAAGAGTGGAATCTGTCATTACTGCATACCACCGGAAGTCTGGGATAAACTTGATCAGCATTGAATATTTGCAGCAGCTTGGATATCTGGAGGAAGCGGAATGGCCCAAAGAAGAATGAGGCAGATTGCTTAGAAATTGCATGGAGCTCTAGTCTGCAATCAGGAACACTTTATGGTAGGTATATAATTTTTTGCAGTTTCTTTCTTTTTAAATGTGTTTTTATTTCCCCTTGCTCCGGGATTATCCTTAAAGCAACGCATCGGATTTAAAGCCTTTGTTTTCTTGCGTAGATAATAAACGCCAGGTTGTTAGAGAGCGACGAATAGCTTTAGGAACTGCTTTGATGTTGTAATAGCGGGCCTTTTTTTTAAGTATGGGTAGCAATTAAGCGCGGTGTGGAGGGGCAGTGCGCCGCAGGCACCGGTGGCGCACAGAGACAGATTGCGGCTCGGAGCAAAAGGTGCGAATTTTTCATCTGTCTGGACGCCTCCGTGCGTCACTGCTGTAGAGCTGGGTGAAATCAGACATCTTTCATTTCTATTATATCTCATGTGACTGGGTTTGATCGTGAAACGGACCCAGATCTGTGTGTAAAACTTTTCCCCCAATGCTCCGAGGTCTTGCAAAGAGAGAAAGTGTCCATTTCCACAGCTGCCTCCTCTGCACAGACTGGTTATTAAAGGTGCATCAAAAATTCACACCTTCCCTGGAATATAAATACAAGTTAATAAAAGTCAGACTTTGAACTTTGAGCCTTGCCGGGATGCTGAGGTTGCTTTGCAATATTTAGCCTCATTGCTCACGCTGCAAAGAGACGAGCTTCCCATTATGCTGACTGTGCAGTTGAAGAAGAAGAGGGAGAGAAAAAAGCTGCAGCAAGTGTGTTTTATCATTAGACTGTACAAGCATCCTTCCAAATTGATCTTCCTCTCGCTGGCTCCTGTCATGCTCCCCCCCCCCCTCCCAGCAGCAGGGCCGGCCGGCGCCCCCACAGTCAGGGCACCTGCCATCCAGTCCTTCCTGCCTGTATTGAATAAAACATCCAGTGATGTATGAGACAGGAGCTGCACCCGGGGGGACAGAGCTGCCTCATTTACTTCCTCCACTCCGCGCCTATGACCTGCTGAGCAAATTGTACTCATATTAGCTCTGTGGCTGCTCCTCACCTAAACAAATAGTCTCCCAGCATAATGCTTGCCTTAACTCAACATGATGGTTGGACAAAAGCATGGGAGAAATGGAATGGGGAGCCTGGGTTCAATATGTGAGTCACTGAGTTACCTCTCTTCTCTAGAGTTTGGAGTTGGTTTTCTTTCTTTTGACTTCACTGCAAAAAATGGAAATCTAAAAGAGTCATTTTCTTAAAATAACTGCATTTTGTCTTGAATTGAGGAGGTAAGTGAGACACTTTGTCAATTGAACAAGACCATTTACATTTAAAATAAGAAGAAACAACTGCATTGTCTTATTACAAGTGCATATTATCTAATTATCTTATTTATGAGTAAAAATACTCATTCCATTGGCAAATCATCCCACTAACCTACTAAAATTAAGGTTAAATACTTTTTTACTTATTGTTAGATTATTTTTGCATTGTTATACTATTAGATCTTTTTTTGGACCTTCATCTTCCCAAGGCTTCCCTCCCTTTATAGCTGACTGTATTCATCTGATGAAAAGGTTCATATTTCTGGTAGTAGAAACTAAGGGCACAGTCAGTGTGTTGTTGTGGGGTGGGAGGGGACACTCTCCACCCTTACTTACATCATTTATTCCCCCAGTAAATGTTATACATACATTCTTCTTTTCGTTTCTTTACTTTTTTTTTTTTTTTTCAAGTTGTTGTCATTTATACTGTAGGGGTTCTGATTCGTACCAGATATGGTTAATCTGTTACAGTAGGTTTGGTTCTCGGACCAGACATAGGTTTGCACCTATTAGGGGGTTGTTTTGTACTACTTTGACAACCAGTCATTTTACTTTATTGACCATACTCTACATACAATCCATATCAAATAATCTGGTTTTATGATTTCCAATAAATGTTGCTTTGAGTTAGCATATGTCCTAAGCAGGTAGGTCAGACAGCAAACATCCAGATAATAATGGAAATGGTAACTAATATTTAATTTTCACAAATAGATCTGATCAGTTTTAATTACAGTGATAAGTTTTTGAAATATTTAACTAAAGTAAAAACGAGACATTGCTTAAGTAAATGGTGGGTTTACAGGTCAAACAGGGGGTCATACTCAAAATTTGCTCAAAATCATGATAATAATCAAACATAGAGACAAATTACATCTAACACAATTCCTTGCACAGTGATATCTAATTGAATTAATTATAGATGGACCACTTATATGACAGAGAGTTGTTCAAAGGTAAAGTGGAGGATTTTCTTTTTCTGGGTAGATCATCAATATAAATGGTGCTCCTAAATGTCAAACATTCTGGTGATATGTGTACGTAAAGCCGTCCTATGTTCTCGTTCCCATTTTCACTTACCTGTGGTGTTTCAGTTAAACAGAGCCTGCACACGGAGAAATGGGCTTGTGCATGTTCTTGCACGCTTTTAATAGGCATTGCCGGATACAGGGTTGTGCATGTGCATTTTTTTTTTTTAAGTGGAGAGGGTGAGTCTGTTCAGAAATTCACAAAAATCCTCTACTATATCTTTAAGTATATAAATAATGCAAGAAATTGAACCAGGAATGGAATAAATACTACCATTTTACATAAAACAGGGTAGAAAGTTGAAAATTGTTAACTTGACCTAAAGCAAAATTTAGTTTATGCCTTGTGATGCTTTGATGTTATTGCCCAACCCCTTAAAACTTTCCGGTGACACCTCTGGTTAAAACAAAAGCAATTTTTAGCGTACTTGTCTAAATTAATATGAGAACTGTAACATTCCCCTTCTGAATTGTGAACACCTAAATTACTTCAATTAAGTCTAATCTGTTGTTCTCATGGAACTTACTAACAGCTGGAAGGTTGAGACGTATTTATTTTATGCAATGCATTAACAAAAAGCAATAAGCTAAGAGAACCCTGGCATTTTATCAATTCTCTCAACTCAAATTGCATATCGCCTTGATTGATTGATAGCTTTTGGGCTCCTTACCGTATTCTTTGCTTATTAAAAGTGCCTGCCTGATGGGAATAAGTGAGCTGCTCTCATGAATATCGTTAAAGTTGCTGAAGTTTAATTTCCTGTGCTGTGTATTAATCTTTTTTAATCCCTGCATGGTTTGATTGTCTCAACACCTTCCCAGAGGCAGTAAAACTCATTTTGGCACTTAAGATGTTTGAAATAGTTGATGCAGATGTAAGAGAGAGAGAGAGAGAGAGAGAGAGAGAGAGAGAGAGGGAGAAAATCTGTGTTTTTTAAGGCCTATCTATTTTCTGGCCCAACATGTCAATTTTTGTGTAAACTGTTTCATTTGTGCACTTAAGGTATACTTTACATTTGAGCAGTTGTTTGCAGTGTTACCTCACAGCAAGTAGGTCCTGGGTTTGAATCCAGATGGGTGCGTTCTCTTTTTTGGTTGCATGCAAGAAAGAAAACAAGCAGAGAAAACAAATGTATTTTATTTTACTTGTCAGATGTACTGGTAGAAATGTGTATTTTATTTGGGAAATATTATTTCTTCTCTGACTAACCACAATATGTGTTTGTTCTTATGCAAGCTAATTTCATAGAAAGCAGAATGTTTCCTTCCTGTAAAATATAAACGGACACTCAAAAGAAAAAACAAACAGTTTCTCACAAAGCAATGTCAACACTGTCTCATTAGCCACCTGATCAAAACGTTTCACATAAAAAGTCTACAGCAGTCTTTTTTTTTTATGTGCAGCCAAACAAAAGAGACATGCCCTTTTTGTGCATTTCAATTTTGCTTGATGTGATACCCCTGAACATTAGTATCTGGGATGTGTCGACGGAGCATGAAAAGAGAAATCATGAAACAGAAACATTACATGTTGGTTCCCACTGAGAAGAAAAGACACCTTTGCAGAGTAAACATGACTGAACACAGGTAAAAGTGATGTTCAGTCTCTAGATACGATCCATGAAACAGGATTAGATGAGCACGGTTCTGTTTGCATATTTGCTCTTCAGTTCAGAACTTCTCTGTGTGAGTATTTTAGTTCTAAATGACTGATCTTTACTCAGATATGCTGCTTTCATTTATCGAATATATCTTCTGGTCCTGAATTTAGCTACAGGTTACAGAGGGATGTTTCAGGTTTCTCATGCAGCATGAAACACTGAAACAAATTTTGCTTAAGGCTTTTTTGCAGGTTTCAGTGTTTTATCAGCCATGTTTAATGAAGACCAACACAATTCTACCACAATATTATGGTAGGTAAATATCACAATTATTTAAAAAGGTTGAAGGCTAATGCTCAATCTAATGCTATTTCCTTTTCATCCCACAACTTTAAAACATCATAGGGACTCAAACACAATATAGCTTTCTTGTTTTAGAAATCAGTCCCTTGGCATTAAGATTTAAATATTCATTTCAGTTTTTTTTTTGTATATTAGATAATCACACAGTATGATTTGATTGCATGTACTCCTGCTGACTTGGTCTTTTTTTCAATCACACATGCAGACATATTGCATAGAGATTTTCTCTCAGTTAGATTTTCATCCCTACATTCAGCTCCATCCTCTGCACCAGTACCAGTCGGCCTCTTGGCTGCTTTATTGGCTCTGCTTTTCCGGCCTGTCACTTGAGGTTTCACAGACATGTCTTGTAAGGTTTGCAGTGGGTCATATTGTTTCCGTTTATAGATGATGGATTGAACAATGCTCTGTCAGATTTTCAAAACTTGGGATAATATTTTATAAACGCACCCTACTTTAAATGTCAGTAAACTTTGCCTATGACTTTCCTTCACCCATATTATCTCTAATGTTGTGCCCATCGGGTCTCTGATTTGCTGTTGTTTCAAGCGCTGTTCAGGGATAACCTGACCAAAACTCTACTTACAAGACAATTGTCTAATCCTCAAGGTTATCTGCAGTCAGTTAGGACCTGATGGACTGCAGCATTCCTCCTCCTCGCATGAGTGGAAGTAACATCTCTCCATGCTCCGAGGTTAATATATAGTCCTTTATTTAAAAAAGTTACAGCCAGCTTGTCCATTTTCCTTCC